TGGAGCTCCTTAAGAAGGGGAACCAAGCCCCTCTCACAACTTCAGGCCCTGCCTTCCATTTGTGGTCAAGGCATAAAGCCGTGGAGTTAGTAACTTTAACCATACAGGACATGAAAAGTCAGTGGGGTGTGCCGTAACTGACGACGTAGTAGGCCTGAAATAAAAGAGGGCAAAAAGATGTAACAGTTTATTCAGCCTACAATACAGTATATGATTATCACACCGTATTCTTGAATGCTATTCGTACTTCCTGAACTGGCTGGGGAATGTATCGTGTATAAGCCGTGGACTTCCAGCGGCCCATAATCTTAATGATGTGTGCTGGGATATTCTTTTTTGAAGCGGTAGTAGCGGCACCAATACGGAATGAATGACTGGAATATTTGGCCGGGTTTAGCCCCAAGCGTACTAACAATGTTCTTACATAAAGCATGAACTTACTGATGGTCAGTGTTTTGCCATATAATGCCAGTAGAGGTTGATGTGGAGTCATTGGGATGGATGAGAGGTACTGGTCGAAGACTACCACTGGACACCATTTATTGTCAGTAGGGTATAGTGACAGACTGACCGTTCATACTAGTTTTTGTATGGTGTAGGATTTGTGCGAGTCTCAAACGGTGAAGTGTCTAACAGATTTGACATAGACTGAAATAGAATGTCATGTATAGGTAATCTGGAAGGTGTAGGTGCCGGGGTGGAGTCCTTGATACCTTTCAATACAGACTTTACTTGATAATAGGAGAGGAATCGTTGTTTATCAGGCCAAGTGGTGAGGATGTGGTGTTGAATACCTGTGATGTATAATTTAATAGTGTTGAATGATAGTTTTAAGTGAAGATGGCAAAAAGAAATAAACGCAATCATAGTGCTCATAGCAAATTTGTCAGCAATTTTGTGTTCCATCACATATTTATTAAACAACAGAAAAGCCCTGTCATAAACCTTTTTAGTGTTTACAGAAAGCCCTAATTGTGAGAGATGATATCCGTGAGCGAGTAATCGGTTTAGTCCAATATCATCTCCTGCCACTGTGGTACGGGAGTGGGTATTAAGGCCGCTGTGGGTAGGGCCGCTCGGAACTCCTGAAAACGAGATCGGGATAAATGGTCAGCGGCAACATTGAGAATCCCAGGAACATGTACGCAATTCAGGAAAAAACTGTATCTCGCAGCTTGCCATGTGAGATTTCTAACAAATCGCATGATGGCCAGGGAAGCGGAACGTCCCTTGTTAACAATATGGCATGTTGCCATGTTGTCCGAGAAGCACCGCACCGACTTCCCTGACCAGATAGCTCGCCATTTTACCGCTGCTGCAACAATGGGATAAAGTTCAAATAACGCAGACGTGTCCTTTAACTCTGGTATCTCTGCAATTTCCTTTGGCCAGTTGCCCCACATCCATTTATTGCCAAATATTGCGGCAAAACCGAAAGTGGCTGCAGCATCTGTCCAAATAGAAACAGACTCATTCGATAACACTGGAATGAATAAGCTCTTCCCGTTCCAGTGTCGTAAAAACTCCCTCCACATGCGTAAGTCAGCGGTGGCATGCCTATCTAACATTATGCGAGAGGAGTCGGTCTGAAACCTAGGGAAAAGACTGAGTAGTCGGGATATAAAAGCCCGTCCTTGAGGAATAATTTTCATGGCAAAATTAAGAGAACCTAACAGGGATTGCAATTCCTTTTTGTTGCAGGACTGTTCGGTTAAGTAAAAGTCAATGGTGGTCAGTATACGTTCAATCTTTTCCCTGGGGAGGCTAGCCTGCATGTGAACTGAATCCAGCACAACCCCTAGGAAATTGATGACTGTATCGGGACCTTCCGTCTTAGTCGGTGAAATCGGGACTCCTAATTGTGTAAAAAGTTGTGTCGTGGCCTGGAGGCTACTGGGAGGTAAGAGGTTGCTTTCTATGGAAAGAAAATCATCCAGATAGTGGATAATGGTGGGGCATCTACAGGTGTTAAGCAATATCCAACACGTCTCAGCAAACATATCAAAAATACCTGGGCTGCTCATTGAACCGAATGTGAGACGCGTGAAAAAATAATATAACCCTTGCCATTTAACACCATGTAAATGCCACAGGGATGGATGAATAGGGAGTAGTTTGAAAGCATTCACGATGTCCGTCTTACTAAGCCAAGCGCCTATTCCTGCTGAGAGGATGGCCGTGATGGAATTATCTATAGTAGCGTATTGCAGCGAAAACTCTTCAGACGGAATAAGTGAGTTAAGACTTGGTGTAGCTGGTGCATGGGGAGCAGAGAGGTCCAGAATCAATCTTTTCTTGTTTGAGGATTTACCAGTGACCAGACCTATGGGGTTAGTTCTCCATACCGCAAATGGTGGAGAGTCAAAAGGCCCAATGACAAATCCTTGGTCAATCTCTTCCTGTATCAGTCGGTCAATAGCGTCAGGATCTGCCAATGCTGTTTGCACTCTAAGACCCCAGTAGGCATGTGGATTATACCCGTGTGAAAACCCGCCGTGAAAACTGACCCCAAAAATTCCACTAAATGTTGGGATAGGTGATCACATAATAGCTTTCTCAGCAGTGAGACATTAATAGACGATAAATACTGCTTGGGGTATAATTTATTTGGGCACATTGCTTTAGAGTGAGCCCGGAAACATAATGAACAAACATGAAGCAACCTACATGCACTGAACCCGACACGTGCCTGAATAGAAATTGTTGCAAACTTGCGACTTCCCCCAAAAAATTATATCCCGGCCCAGTTTATCTTTAAGGACCTTGGCCGGTCTCCCAGTCTGTGTCATATTGGGAATGGGGTAGAAAGTATTTACCTCTGGGGTATTGGGACATAGATTTGCCGTGTGTGAATTGGAAGCACAAATGGCACAAGCCGGTGTCTTGAGGCCCGCAAAGTGCCGACAAAAAAGCTCCGTATCCAGCGCACTCCAGTCAACTTGATAGTTAAATTGAGACAGAGCCGCCGCCGCCTTTGCGGCGAAAGCACGGGGGTAGTCATAAAAAGCCGTACCACCGTACTTGTGCCCCAAATCCACCAGCTTGTGTAGGTATAGATCCAATTCCTCCCTCCTGTGGGGATGCACTGAGCATACAACATCCCTGTAGGTCCCAAAAGCCAGGACAAATTCAGGGATAGACAATTTATGGTTTAGTCTGGGGTCCCTAGATTTAAGTACCACGGATATGTCACCATAAGCGTACGTCTTATTTTCCAGGACATCTTGGGAGGCAATGAGTAGTGATACCAAGTTTACCTTCTTCCCCTCCAAGATGTCCTTTCTCAAATTAGCAGGCACCAAATGTGCTGGGTTAATGATATGCGGATTTTTAATACCCGCCGGAATATTACCAGTAGAAGTGCTGGGAACAACCACCGAGTCACTATTTCCCAGAGCCGTTTGCGACTGCTGTCGGCTCTCTGTGTCCATTTTATCCAGTTTATCGGTAATACGACCTAACGAGGTCAAGACCGAGGATAATACCGCGTGCAGATCAGAAGACTGACCGCTACTAGACCCTTCATCAGCCCCAGTATTATCAGTTTGCATGTTTAAAAGTCTATACAATTTGGCTTTCCTAGCCGTAGCTGGAAAAGGAATATTCCTTTTCCTCAATTCGGCGGTGATCCGAGGAATCGTCCAGGAGCGTAGAGATGAAGGAGTTGCATTGTCGACTTCTTGGGATGGAGTGACCGATCTAGCAGGTGTGCTAGGGATAGACAGATCTTCCCCCGGCTTCTGGTAGTTGTGACCCATCTGGTAGTTGTGACATGCTATAAAATAAATTTTTCAATGTTTTACCTAGTGTAAAAATTCTTCACTGGCTGTCTTTTAACTAGTGCCAAGCGGCGAAACAATTAAGACGATAGGTGACAGGTGAGGCCCTACTAGTAGCCAAGCGGCTGTGAGAGGCTCTACCTATGATTTGGCGCGATTGGGTTATGAGGCCATTGACCTTATGGCGGGGAGTTGGCCCCTCTGTGACAATAACCAGAAAAAGACAGAATGGGAGTGACAGGTGATGCCCTCTCTATGCAACCGTGCGAGGCGGCTAACTATGATTTGGCCCGAGGGGATGTCGTACCTCCGTTTGAGGATGGGTGTTGGCCTCACGGGACCACTGACGTAAGGTGTAGAAGGCCAAGAAGAACGTACCTAGAGGCTCCTATGCTTTAGTGCCAGTGAATAACTAAGTTATAAAAATAGACGGGGAAGGGGTTCGTATTGAATCGAGGCAAAGGGACGTACCTGTGAGTTGAGTATTTAGCCGGGTAAGGTAATACAGATGAACTGTAGTTCCTACAAGATTAAATAGTGAATTTATAATTAAATTAAATTTAATAACTATTAAGTGGGTATCGACATGTACCTGAAATTCCCTCCTGAACCCCAGATACCTACCAGGTAGCTATATCCTGAATTGGAACCTGGAACCAATCCCCACAAGGCTGCGTTGATGGCCTAGCCTATAAATGTAGAAGTAACACATAAGAATACTGGCTATGCAACCATCAAGTGGCTAGTTGAAACATGAAAAATGTACGTGTTTTAAGAATTTATGTGTCACATAACTTAATAAAAAAAATAATAATGCCTACATCTTGATTGTTTGTAGTATACGGAATGCCTCATGCCAGACCCACAAGTAATATAGCCTGAATGCAGGTGTAGAGGTCAGTCATTATAGCTGTTTTAAAACTTGATATTATATGTGTAACACAACCTGTGTAATTTTGCACAATATGTCATAATATAGAATGACCACAAGGGGCCGACGTAACCCAGCTCAAGTGCCCCAATGATATTACTAATGCAGTTAAACGAATAAATAATGAGTGTATTGTATCACATAAGCACAATTTATGGCCAGCTTACAAGTATTTATAAATAGTGAAACGATTTAAACGATATGAAGAATCGAAAAACGAATTGCCCAGCGTTCGTGCAATAATTCCCATCAAAATATTCAAAAAACGTGACGTAACGTAAGCACCGAATTTAGATAGAGGTATCCCAAGATGACGCGGATCGACCGCGACCGCCGCTCGACGGCAGCTGTGACTTACGGTTTGCTGAAAACGGCCCCAGCCGCCGGTCGCTTCTGTGAATAAGCCGAAATGTGGGGACGTCGGAGAGGCAGGGAATATCTTGTGAGCTGAAATGGAGCAACGGGACTAGGTGAGTGTATCCTCGGGGTTCCGCCTGTGACAGAGGAGATTTGCACAGACCGGAAGTGCGGTTATGCAAATCTCAAGACCTGAGCCGGTAGCAGGTGAAGGGCTGGAGCTCCTTAAGAAGGGGAACCAAGCCCCTCCCACAACTTCAGGCCCTGCCTTCCATATATATATATATATATATATATATATATGAAGAGTACAATGAATAGAATAGAGTGTGTGTGTGTGTTTGTGTATATATAATGGAAAATTTATTCATACTTACCGTAATTTTCTTTTCCTGGTCATATGCCATGGCAGCACAACATCGGGTAGCTCCTCCCTATCCCCATTGGACAGGAATAATTATTAAGCCGTATAAGTACCACCTCCTACCCCTCCTTCCCCAGTCATGTTTTCCAGCAATAGCCCCGGGTGGGACCCTTGTGCTGCCATGGCATATGACCAGGAAAAGAAAATTACGGTAAGTATGAATAAATTTTCCATTTTCCTGGCCATATCCATGGCAGCACAACATTGGGTAATACCCAAGCAATAAACCAGGGAGGGAAAGAGACACAGACTCCAAAAATTTTGAATGCAAAGTGTATTAACACCACAACAGGTGAAAAATAGAAATCAGGTATCGGATACAGACAGAACTGATTTAGCAAATTGATCAGATATACCTGCTCTAACATCAATTTGGTAGCTCTTAATGAAAGTGTTAGAGGAAGACCATGTAGCTGCTTTACAAATGAGTTCAGGAGAAACATTAGCAGCAGCTGCCCAGGAAGATGAGAGAGCCCTCGTGGAATGGGCTTTAAGACCCACAGGGACCGGATATCCAGCAGATTGATAAGCCAGAATAATAGCTGCTACTATCCACCTGCTAATGGTAGATTTGGGAGCTTGTGAGCCCTTTTTACAGCCGCCATGAAGGACGAAAAGACTGTGAGAAGTACGCCAAGCAGAAGTCCTATTAATATATATCTGGAGGCATCTTACTAGATCCAGAGAAGATAGGTTAGTAGAATTCTCCATTTCTAGGGAGTCAGACCTCAGAGATGGAAGAACAATATCCTCGTTGATGTGAAAGGAGGAGGTGACTTTAGGTCGAAATTCGGGAACCGTACGGAGGACAACTCTGTCTTTGTGAAAGACCGTAAAAGGCTCCTTAATGGATAGAGCGTGGAGCTCAGAAACCCTCCTGCCGGAAGCTAGGGCAATCAGCAAAGCAGTCTTAATAGAGAGAGCATGAAGAGGAACTGTCTCAAATGGTTCAAAAGGTTCCAACTTTAAGGCATTCAAGACCAAAGGGAGATTCCAAGATGGAACAAATGGTTTAATAGGAGGTTTTATCTGAAGGACTCCTTTGATGAATCTGATGACATCCGCGTCCAGTGCCCATCGATGATTGGTTAGAGCGGACAAGGCTGAGACGTGCACCTTGAGAGTGTTATAGCTCAGCCCTTTAGCAAGCCCAGACTGCAGAAACTCCAAAATATTAGAGGAGGAAGGATCTTGAATATTAATGTTCCTGTGAAGGGCCCAGTCAGAGAAAACTTCCCACACTCTATAATAAGTGGCCGAAGTGGAATGCTTACGTGCCTTCAGCATAGTGCCTATAACGTCCTGGGAGAATCCTTTACTCAAAAGCCGGTTCCTTTCAGTCTCCAAGCCATGAGATTGAGAGAGACCAGATTTGGATGAAACACAGGACCTTGGAACAGAAGATCCGGAGTTCTGGGGAGTGGGAGAGGAGGTTCCACCAAAAGACTTTGAAGCAGAGGAAACCAGGGTCTTCGAGGCCAATAAGGCGCAATCAGGATGAGAGACACCTGCTCTGTTCTCATCTTCCTCAGGAGCGGGAGAATTAGTGGAAATGGGGGAAAAGCATAGCCCATCCTGAACCTCCAGGGGCTTGATAAAGCATCCCTCCCCAGTGCTAGGTGGTCGTCTTCTTTCGTGAAGAAAAGCTTTACTTTCCTGTTGGCCCGAGTGGCTAGAAGGTCTACTTGAGGGAGACCCCATTTGTCCACAATCAAGCGGAATACTCTGTCCGAGAGGCACCATTCCCCCGGATCTATCCTGGATCTGCTGAGAAAATCCGCCAGATGATTCCGTTTCCCTGGTAGATGGATGGCAGTAAGGCCCGCCAGGTTTCTCTGAGTCCACCACATCAGGTGATTCATGATTTCCATCATCTTGCAGCTCCTGGTACCCCCTTGGTGATTGACATAGGATACCACAGTGGAGTTGTCCGTCCTTATCTTCACCCATTGCCCCTTGAGATGATTCGAGAAGTGTTTCAATGCTTTGAGGACAGCCAGAAGCTCTAGGCAATTGGAATGAACATTGTTTGCCCTGAAACTCCATTCTTCCTGCGCAAAGTCGTGGAGACAATGAGCGCCCCATCCCCATTGGCTGGCATCCGTTGTCACAGTTATCCACGCGATATCTCCTAGTGGAAAACCCTTTGATAGGTGCTCCCTGTTTAGCCACCAGATTAGAGAATGGCGTACATTCAGGGAAAGTTTGATGGGTTGGTGTAGGTTCCCGGAGGAGAACTGTCTCAGGAAATTGGCTTGGAATGGTCTCATTCTCCACTGTGCCCATCTGGTCAGTCCTATTGTGGAGGACATGGAACCCAGGAGGCTCATTATGGCCTTTGCCGGGGCCACCCTGGATATCAGCATTCTTCTCAATAACATCTTGAGTTTCTGTATTCTTGCTGATGAAAGTTGGACAGTGCCCTTTAGAGTGCCGAAGTGAGCTCTTAAGTAAACCATAGATTGCGTTGGGTGGAGGTGGCTCTTCTTGGTGTTGATCTTCCAGCCGTGAGCTTGCAGAAACTGAATGCTGGTAATAGCATGGGATGTCAGAGAATCTACGTAGTTTCCTAAGATCAAGATGTCGTCCAAATAATGGTAAATCGCAATGTTCTGTTTTCTGAGTTCTGCAATGAGGACAATCAGGACCTTTGTAAATGTCCTCGGAGCTGTGCTCAGTCCAAAGGGGAGGGCCCTGAACTGGAAGTGACCTTCTTCCACAGCAAACCTCAGAAACCTTTGATGAGTTTGGGCGATGGGTATGTGAAAATACGCATCTAACAGATCTATGGACAGCATCCATTGGTTGGGAGACACTACTTTTATTATAGATTGTAAGGATTCCATTTTGAACCTGCGAATGTGCAGATGCTTGTTTAGCCTGTGTAGATCCAGAATGGGTCTCCATCCCCCTGAGGATTTCTTCGTTAGGAAGATGTGGGAGTAAAACCCTTGAGTTCTCTCACCGGCTGGCACTTTGGTGATAACCTTCTCCTTCTGCAAGGAAAGGATGAAGTCTTGTAGGGCCATGCACTTTTCCTTGTCCCCTGGCCACTTTGTGAGGTGAAAGGACCTGCTTGGAGGATGCTCGAGAAATTCTATCAAGTAACCTCTCCGAATGATATCCAGTACCCAACTGTCGCTTGTGGATGCTTCCCATATCGGTAGATATTGGAGAAGACAAGCCCCGACACCTTCGGATTTGGGAATTATATAGTCATAGATTCCTCTGGTTTTTATAGGAAGATGAACCGCGTGACTTGCCTCCTTTGTTTCCAGATGGGGCTCCTCTCCCAGGTTGAAATCTGGAATATTCTCTGCCCGGCTTGTAGGACCTACTGTCACGAAAGGAATGATACTCTTTCCGGGCACGAAAGGATCCTTTATATTTTCTCTCCTGAGGTAAAAAGGCTTTATTCCCTTCAGCCGCCCTCTTAATGCAGTCGTCCAAATTCTTGCCAAATAACATACTCCCGTGAAATGGCAAAGAACACAAACTATTCTTGGAGGAAGCATCGGCTGCCCAAGATCTGAGCCAAAGTGCTCGCCTAGAGGAAATCGAGAAGGACATATTTCTAGCAAGGCTCCTTACCAGATCCACTGCAGCTTCTGATGAAAAATCAATTGCTAGACGCATATCTCTTAGGTCCTCCACAATGGAAGATCGGCTTCTGCCACTCCTGATGTCCCCTTCCAGTTCCTGTATCCAAACCTTCATAGCTCTTGTAACTGACGTGAGAGCAACGGCAGGGTGGAGACTCGTGCCTGAGGCTACATAGGATTTGGAAAGGTAGTATTCCATCTTACGATCCATAGGATCCCTGAAGGAACCTGCATCGTCTACAGGAAGGGTAGTGTGCTTGGCTAGTCTGACCACTGCAGCATCAACTTTAGGTGGAAAATCCCATGTTTCAGCATCTTTGGAATGAAACGGATATAATCTGGAGAACTTCCCTTTTTCAGATGATCTCCGGTCAGACCTGGACCATTCTTCTTTAATAAGGTCACTAATTGTGGCATGCACAGGGAAAGCCGCTCTTTTTCTTCTAAGATCAGAGAAATAGCGGTTAGATGTAGATGGTTCCTCCTCTGAGGGTTCCTTCAAGGTAAGGGTTTCTCTGACCCGGGCAATTAAATGATCCACCTCCGCAGGTACCAGGAAGTCAGGATCAGGGATAGCCTCCTCCTCCGAGGAAAAAGCTAGGTCTCTCAGAGAAGCTGAATCCATTAACTCTTCTTCAGAGTTTCCTGGAGATAAATCTGAGGGCTCAGAATATCTAGGTCGCTTGTGGGTCTTACCACCCTCTCTTATGCCCTGGGCAACTGCATGCTTGATAAGTTGCATAAAGTCCGGTGTTGAATGAGAAGGGCCAGCAGCTGCTGAGAGACAATCTGAACAGAGACGTTTCCCTTCTATGGCTCTGTTATCACAGGATATACACAGCGTCCTTTTGGGCGACTTCCCCTTGGACGATCCTGAAGTCTTTGTACTTTTAGCACTGAAATACAACAAACGTGCTCATTAGTACATTACCTCTTTTTTTTTTTTTTTTAAAAAGGATGGCTTACCTATATTGCTTAGATTGTGACCTATTGTGATGAGAAGAATCCGATTCCCTGGATCCTGAGCGAGAATCCATCTATAAGGAATAGATGGAACAGCGAAACTAATACCAAGAAGAAATATATATATAAGAAATAAAATAGGAGAAAAACTTACTTGATGCTTGAGAAGGAAAAAGGAACCTGGAAAGGCGAAGAACCAACAGAATGGTGCAGAAAAAACTTTCCTGGAGGAAGAAACTCAACCTACCCCGAAAAAAGAGGTCTGGCGCTTTAAGAAGGGCATCTGACGTCATCGCGCATGCGCGAATTAGCGAGAAAACGCGCGAACGGCCCAAATGAATGGATTTTGCGCGCGAACGTGCTAATTCGTTAATCGCGTTCGCGCGCTTATTCAAACACAGCCGCGCGAACGCTCAGAAACAACCGAACGCCGCGCATGCGTCCGGGAGCCCACGAAAGCCGAGCAGGCGCCCATGAGACTCCCGAACGCCGCGCAGGCGCACAGAAATTTCCCGAACGCCACGCAGGCGCCCTGGAACTCCCGAACGCCGCGCAGGCGCATAGGAGCTCCCAAACGCCGCGCAGACACTGCAGCTACTGAGGGGGAACCCCAGCACAGAGAGATTACAGTTTCAATTACCTCTGTATCTTCAGAAGAATAATCTTACAGGTAAGAACCAATTCATGGAGTCATTACCTTGATTCTGGGGGGGGAAAATCCAAGTCCGGAAACCAGCCATAATTCCATGTTATTCCACTTGCATTATTGCAAGAATTACAGGAAGGTAAAACCCCCGGTCACTAAAGGGGTTTTCTCCAGGGGGACACCTTTGCGCAGGGCCGTATACTGGAGACTTCCCAGGGGAGAGAGGGTGAACTCCCCAGGGGCTAGAGGAACTAATCCTCAGGTAAGCCATAAAGAAAATCTAATAGTCTGAAAAAGACCGACATGTCCTAGGGATAGGACAGGAAAAAAAGACTGGGGAAGGAGGGGTAGGAGGTGGTACTTATACGGCTTAATAATTATTCCTGTCCAATGGGGATAGGGAGGAGCTACCCAATGTTGTGCTGCCATGGATATGGCCAGGAAATATATATATATGAAGAATAGAATATAGTGTATATATATATATATGAAGAATACAATGAATAGAATATAGTGTGTGTATATGAAGAATACAAAGAATAGAATATAGTGTATGTGTGTATATATATATATATATATATATATGAAGAATACAATGAATAGAATATAGTGTGTATATATATATGAAGAATACAATGAATAGAATATAGTGTGTGTATATATATGAAGAATACAAAGAATAGAATATAGTGTGTATATATATATGAAGAATACAATGAATAGAATATAGTGTGTAAATATATATAGAATAATATAATGAATAGAATATAGTGTGTGTATATATATATATGAAGAATACAAAGAATAGAATATAGTGTATATATATATATGAAGAATACAAAGAATAGAATATAGTGTGTGTGTATATATATATATGAAGAATACAATTAATAGAATATAGTGTGTATGTATATATATATATATATATATATATATATAGAATAATATAATGAATAGAATATAGTGTGTGTATATATATATGAAGAATACAAAGAATAGAATATAGTGTATATATATATATGAAGAATACAAAGACTAGAATATAGTGTGTGTGTATATATATATATATATATATAGAGAGAGAGAGAGAGAGAATAATATAATGAATAGAATATAGTGTGTGTGTGTATATATATATATGAAGAATACAAAGAATAGAATATAGTGTATATATATATATATATGAAGAATACAAAGAATAGAATATAGAAGCAAATCCCAAAAAAGATGTCATAACAAATGGTTGCATGATGTTATGTTCCAGAAGGAATCTTTTGAATAGTGTGAAAGCCCTGTTGTATGTTTTGTGTGTATTGTTTGAAAGTGCCAATTGGGACAATGTCCTGCTGTGCTGCATGATGGTTTCTAGTCCAGTATGAGTTGTTGAAATGTTGGAGTGATGGTGGCTGTGGGCGCAGCTGACGGGAGTGCTTGATGAAACGCCTGAAACGCCTGAAATTTAAAGCGAGACAAATTGTCAGCAGCTGTGTTACATACACCTGGAACATGGAAACAACATAGGAAAAAATTATGACAAGCTGCCAACCAAGTGAGTTTCCTCAGAAATCTCATGATCGTAAGAGATTTGGAACGACCTTTGTTGATGATGTGACAGGTTGCCTGGTTGTCTAAGTAACAACGCACTGGCATATTAGCCCATAAATGACCCCATGCTATGGCAGCCGCCACGATGGGATAGATCTCAAAAAGAGCTGAGGTAGTGGAAAAACATTCCAAATCCTGAACTGCTGAAGGCCAGCTGCCCCAAAGCAATTCGTTCCCAAAAATTGCTGCAAAACCAGTAGTAGATGCCGCAGCTGACCAAATGGAAGGAGACGAGTCAGTCAATTGAGGGAGGAACATACTTTTACCATTCCAAGTGGTTAAAAATCTCTCCCACATGTTTAGATCTGCCGTAGCTTGGGTATCTAAGGACAACCTGTGCGTGTCATGTAGGAAAAGTGGGAAAAGATGCAATAGTCGTGATATAAAGGATTCTCTATCTTATCGTGGGGTAGGCTCGCTTGCATTGTGGCGGAGTCTAATTGGATACCCAGAAAAGTGATAACCATGTCTGGCCCCTTTCTTTGGGGAGATAGGTACACCTAGTTGCTCAAATAGCTTAGTGGTAGCTTTGAGACTAGTAGGAGGCGAAGTATTCTCCTCGACCAGTAGGAAATCGTCCAGGTAATGTAATACCGTAGGGCATCTGGCTATGTTCAATAGTAACCAGCATAATGCTTCGGCAAATGTGTTGAAAATAGCTGGGCTACTTTTGGACCCAAAAGTTAACCGGGAGAAAAAATAGTAGTTCCCGGACCACTTGATGCCATGCAGGTGCCACAGTGTGGGGTGGATTGGTAGTAATTTAAAGGCGTTAGTAATGTCGGTCTTACTGAGCCAGGCTCCAACCCCTGCTTGTATGATAACGGTAATGGCGTGATCTATGGTGGTGTATTGCAGAGAGAATTCCTCAGAGGGTATGAGGGAATTAAGACTTGGGTTGGTCGATGAGTGGGGTGCTGATAAGTCAATGATGAGTCTCTGTTTTTGGGAAGATTTCCCTGTGACAATACCAATGGGGTTAGTACGCCATTCTATGAATGGAGGAGTTTTGAAAGGCCCCAATACGAAGCCCTCAACCACTTGATGGTTGCATAGCCAGTATTCTTATGTGTTACTTCTACATTTATAGGCTAGGCCATCAACGCAGCCTTGTGGGGATTGGTTCCAGGTTCCAATTCAGGATATAGCTACCTGGTAGGTATCTGGGGTTCAGGAGGGAATTTCAGGTACATGTCGATACCCACTTAATAGTTATTAAATTTAATTTAATTATAAATTCACTATTTAATCTTGTAGGAACTACAGTTCATCTGTATTACCTTACCCGGCTAAATACTCAACTCACAGGTACGTCCCTTTGCCTCGATTCAATACGAACCCCTTCCCCGTCTATTTTTATAACTTAGTTATTCACTGGCACTAAAGATTAGGGCATTCCAGAGTTCCGGCTGGTATGTGTAGGATACCTGTATGGAAGCCTTCTGTTAAACCAGAGATGAGAAAGTCTACTAGGTGTCTAGATGGGTGCTGAGACATAAATGCCGTGAATACTGGCATATTAATGGATGTTAGGTAAGGCTTGGAATACATTTTATTTGGACACATGGTCTTTGCATGTGCCCTAAAACATTTTGAACAGACATGCAATAGTCTACATCCACTGTAATTACAAGACTTAACATTGAAATTATTACATATCTGGGACTTGCCCAGAAACTTGATTGGGCGTCCCAGTTTGTCTCTTGACAACTTCCCTGGAACCCCAGAGGAACTAGCTCCTTGCGTGGAGGCATGTCCGTCTGCCGTGTTGGGACAAAAATTAGTAGTATGGGCTGTGGAGGAGCAGTATGTACAAGCTGGTGTTCTTAGACCTGCAAAGTGTCTGCAAAAAATGACGGTATTAATCCTTCCCCAGTTGGATCGTGTTCCGTATTGGGAGAAGGCTCCAGACACATTTGCAGAAAAAGACCTATGGTAGTCATAGAAGGCTGAACCCCCATATTTGTTGCCCAGGTCTACCAGCTTGTGCATATAGGGATCAAACTCCTCTCTTCTGTTGGGATAGACTGCACAGATGACATCCCTGTAAATACCAAAAGCTAGTACAAATTCAGGGATAGTCAGTTTCCTGTTCAGGCGGGCATCCCTAGATCTGACAACAACAGATACATCATCATAAGCATACGTCTTATTCTCAACAATATCCTGGGAGGCAATCAACAGGGAAGCCAGGTTGACATCTTTACCTTCCAGGATATCCCTTTTTATGTGCTCAGGTATCATATGAGCCGGGCTAACTTCCTGGTCATCCAGGGTGATGGCTGGAGCAACTAATGGCAAGTCGGCTGGTGCTTGTGAAGCAGCAGCGGGTGGCCCTGCTAGAGTAAGGGCCGTGGTGACCGACTCAAGTTTCTCCAGCCTGGAGTTGACCTTGCTCATGAACGCCATGAGTGAGGATAACATGCCATGTATGTCTCCTGGGTTGGACTGGCTAGGTCCTTCCCCGGCATCCATGTTATTTGTAGATGTGGGGAGCAGTTTGAAAAGTTCTGCTTTCCTTGCTGTAGCGGGGTAGGGGATTTGTCGTCTCCTCAATTCCGTGGTTATACGCGGGATCGTCCAGGATCTGATCGATGCTGGACTAGCTAGCTCTCCTCCTTGTGTGGGAGTGACAGCTCTAGCCGGGGTGCTAGGCAGGGAGAAATCCTCTACCCCCTCCTGAGACATACTATAAATAAAACAATTAATTAGTATATGAAACCACCAAATTGTACTGGCAGGCTAGCTAGGCCAGATGGCGAAAGTATTATACTTGTTTTATTGACAGGTGAGGCCCTGCTAATTGCCAAGCGGCTTGAGAGGCTCTATCTATGCGTTGGCGCGAGGGGTTATTGAGGCCACTTGACGTAATGGCAGGAGTTTTAGGCCTCTCTACCATATGAGCAGGTGTACGTACCTGGTAGTATGACAAATCACAGGAATAAACCGTGTGGAGCAATTATATAAGCTTGACAGCCTAAAAATGGGTAAAAGAGAGTAGTATGATGAGTGTGGAGTGTGAAAAGAAACAGACTTATAGTCCGTAGCAGCAATGTATTAAAATTATGTTGATACCATGGGAATAGATATGAGTTACTCAGAAATGTTGTCATGGCTTAAATAAGACATCTGAGGGAGGCCGTGGCCTATGTACAAACAACATATGTATTATATAATAATGGTGTGTAAGGGAAACATAAAATGTAGGTTATATATATGTATATTACTGTGCAGGAAACGTATGATTGGTAGGATCAGTACGTGTTATTCAACCTGAGTATGCATGAAAAGGAATTAAAGTCTTATGTGTC